CCCCGCCCCGCCCCGCCTCGCCACGCCACGCCCCGCCCCGCCACGCCAACAGTTCGCATATTGTGCAGCCTACCGCTAGGTCCGCTTGGCGCGCTTGGTCACCGCGGCGTTATGTGATGCGACACTGATAACGCCTTATCATTAACCATTAGCACCCCCCCCCCCTACACCCCTGCCGCGCTGCCTGCAACATGCACCATGGCCCCGCCAGGACAGCCCATTTCTTTCGTCAATTTACATCGGGAAAGTGAGCGTGGGGGGCGTGGCGTTGTGCTACTGCAGAAACGGAGCGTGTGTGGTTATCGCTCTCCATTGAGATTAGTGCTGCTGTGCCCCATCATCCGGCCGCCCCACCAATGCAAAACGTCTATCGAATACGATGTATCGGAACAATTATGAGAAAGTATATATTCCGCAGATTTCAATATCGTTTGTGTCGTGTGTTGATCCAAAGCAAAACATGTCACCACCTGTTTTGTCGTTTGGTTATACTGCGCCGGATTCAGGCGGGCTTGCCTATCGTCGCTCACCGTTGCGTCCTCTGTCGCCGAGCGAGTAAGAAATCGAAGCAATCAACATACACGCATGAATGCGGCACATCCAGTAAAACAACAACAACACAACACGTATTGGGTCTGAGACACACTGTATGTACAAAGGAAGAAGCAATCTGGGAAGGGGTGCGGCGAGAGCAAAAATTATTCAGGAGATAAAGGGTAGGGGGAGTGTGAGATGGACTATTGGGGGCAGAGCGTATGACGGGCGCTTCCAAGGTTACCCATCTGCCAGGGATTAGTCTTGCTAAACCACCCCTCGCTCTGCCGCCCCTCCCGCGCGCTACATTCCGTGTAGGCCTCCGGTCAGCCTGCCGCTTTGCAGAGCCGCGCTATACAACGCACACGAGCCAACAACGACCAACGACAAAAGAAAAGGAGGAATTTTCCCGAGACAAGGAATGAGGGCATAAGAGAGAGGGGCGCAAGAAATGCTCACATGAGCTCCGCGTCGTCGCCTGCCGAAGAGAAGATGTATGTGCCTAGTTGTTGCGCACTGCTCAGCTCTCTTTGAGGCCCTCTCTCTCTCCCTTTCTCGCTGCCTGCCCTTGCAGTGTGTGTACTTTGTGGGTACATCGTGCGGGGTGGCCGTGGCGTATGGTAAGGGTTGTGGTCCATAATATTCCCCCTCCCTTTCCGCCACCCTGGCCTTTACGTCTCGGGGCGTGCGGCAGTGATTGGGTCCCCGATAACAGGCTCGTACGAGGGGGCTCGCAGCTGCGCTCTGCGCTGGCGCCGTAAAGAGTGTCGTACACTGTCGTGCCGTACCTAGCGCCCCCTCACTCTTTTCCTCCTCATGAAGCTGGAGAGCCCGTCAAGGGGCAGCCGTCCACTTCCCCTTTCCCCCCACCTCCCTCATTCACCACCACAAATTGGACGAATCCCCAAAAGAGTATGAAAAGGGCCTTCCTCCTTCCTCCGTGAGCGTATATGGCGTCCTGTAGCACCTTACAGCCAGAGCTTTTCTCAAGTGACATTTTCTCTTATCATGGCCACTTTCTCACC